GATAAAAATGAACAATTGAAACCGAACCGGTTTCTATGAGAATAGCTTCACACCATTCATGGGTTTTGACTCCGTAGGATGGATTCAAATGATTTACAAGATTAAGGGGAGTTATTTTATTTGGGTCAAGTTGTACATGAGTATAAGAGATGGTTATATCTGATAGAAAAGCGGTGTCTATATAAATTGATTTGGCAGAGGTTGAGGTTTGTTTATTTGGGTATGTTGCCGGGGAAAACGTCGGACTTGGAGTAGATATTGGACTTTGTGGAGGAGCCTGTATTAAATATTCAGGTACATTTGAGGATCGGAGAGGTGACATGGGTGTCAGACTGAGAGAGGAATGGATGGGCATAAGAGGCCCATACCTGTTGCTTGGGACTAAATCCATTGGTTGTTTTCCTTTGGTATTTGAAGACTGAGGATTATTCATATTGGTATTTTTATTGGTAAGGAAGAGTTGCAAACCGTAGGACGAGAATCCGTAGGAGATGTGGGTATATACGGTCCCCCATGCAAAAATTCACGGGTTAAAAAGTCAGGTAAGGAATTGGAAGAACCGTGAAGATGTTCAATAGAAAAATCAAAAGCAGATAAAATAGCATGCCATCGGGCAAATATTTGCTTTGAAACAAGATTTTGGACATCCTTTTGCAGAATATCCTTGGCAGCTTTACAATCAGTGCAAATTAGAAAATGTTGATTTAGAATATCAGTTTGAAATTTGCAGACACAATGAATAATAGCAAGTAATTCTTTTTTCACAGTAGAGTAATTCTTATGGGTAGGATTCCAAGCTTTGGAAGTAAAACGTATTAATTGTTCTTTAGAATCAATTGATTGTAATCAATTGATTGTTTTAATATACCACCTAGTTCTAAGTCAGAAGCATCGCATTCAATAATTTTAAAAGCTATTGGATCAGATAAAGTTAAACATAGAAGTTCTTTGGCTTTGAGTTTAATTCGTTGTACCGCCAAAGTATGAATATTAGTTCAGGGTGGATGATTCTTTTTTAATCGATCATATAAAGGTTTAGCATCCAGAGCTAGATTTTGGTAAAAATCACTTATATAATTTAGACATCCTAAAAATCTTTGTAATTCAGTTTTATCTAAAATTTTGTCAGGAAATTTATCAGCAAAGAGAATTGATCTATCAATTGAAATGATTGTTCCTTGGTTGATATTGTGTCCTAGGAATCTTATTTTTGTTTGGAACAAATTTATCTTTTTAGCACAAACAACTAACCCAGCTGTTTTTACTGTGTGAATAAAAGTATGAAGATGCTTGAAATGTTGTTCAAGTGATTCAGAAAAGACTAGAACATCATCAATGTAAACTATCATGAATTTATAAAAGGGATTAAAGATATCATTCATTATTTTTTGAAATTCAGATGGAGCATTAGACCGAAAGGCATAACGTTCCATTCATATTGTCCAAAAGGGACATTGAAAGCTGTTTTATATTTATCTTCTTCTTTTATTTGGATTTGCCAAAAATCAGATTTTAAATCGAATTTGGAGAAGATTACAGCATGTAAAAGTCTATCAAGTAAATCTTTTTTATTTGGAATGGGATATCTAATCCATTGTAAGACTTTATTGAGGGGTTTATAATTAATAACTAATCGTGGAACTTCTCGTTCTTGCTCAGCATTTTTATTGACATAAAAAACAGAACAACTCCAGGAAGATGAATTAGGACGTATAAGTTTCTTTTGGAGTAAATCTTTTATTTCAAGCTGACATGTTTGTAATAATATTTTTCCAAACTAATGATCTTTTATCTAATCTACGATGTCCTACACTATCACACTATAAATGGTATAAAGACGTCTTTTTCTCTCGACTACTTATACGAGAAAATAGTCATCTTGACCACTGGAAAGAAAAGTTTGTAGTAGGACTACCTTACCTATTTGCTGAAAAGGTCAAAGAACGTCTAAAAAATAAGAATAGTGGTGTAATAAATTATTCTCAATATACGTTAGGAGAATTATCTTCAGAAATCTGTGCTGAAGGCTTAGGCCTATGTATAGATCTGAAACTCAAAAAGCAACTTGATAAACAGAATTTAAGTGGTAAAAAAGAATTAGGAGATTTCTGCCAACAATTTGGCTATCATATGGACCAAGGTCATATAGATAAAACTAAACCCCATAA